AGACTGTGAGAAATCTCAGATCTACTTTCATCGCCGCTGCTATAGTTCGCCATCGCCGTCGCCGTCACTATTGCCATTGTAAGTTGTCGTCATCATCGCCATTGCAGCCTGCAAGTGACCTCCTCCTCCTCTTCCTTCTTTTTGTTCTTCTTCTCTCTCTTCTAAACTCTCTCAGCCATTGACAACTTCTCGCATCTCTCTCATTCTCAAACAATCAAACATTTTTTCTCTTGTACTTATATGCATCTTACCCTAATATTCCAATTTAATGGGTAAGATGACATATCACCAGTTACAATATTTAAACCGTTTGAACTGTTTGAACCGGGTGGTCAAACCGCTGACCCGGAAACCGGTGGCTAAAATGGTTCTGTTTCCGAGCCGGTTTTTAAAACCTTGATTAGAAGAGCCCCAATTTATGGGGATGAAATCAATTCTACTAACCCCACCAATGCGTAAGTATTTGTAAAAGTTGGGTGCAGGTTGTATGGAAATGCCCGATAGAAGGCTCCATCAAAATCAATTTTGACGCCACATGTGACTTGAATGGTAATTGTGATCATCTTGGCCAATCCTCGACCTTAAAGCTTATGGGGTTAGAGTTACTACGATCAACACTTTGGAAGCTTGGGCTGCTGCGTAGGAAGCTATCAATCTTGCCATCAACTTCAAAGAGTTCCCGATCTCCATTGAAGGTGACTCTAAGTTAGCTATAGACTGCCTGAAGAACTCAGTGGAGCCCCATGGAGGATAAAGAATATCATATCTGAATGCTCTCATCTGTGTCATCTCCTTAAGCTGGAGTTTCCTTCCTTCATGTGTAGCTCTGTTGTCCTTATTCCTTATTACAAAAAAAAAAAAGAAAAAGAAAATAATGGGAAGAGTTTAGATACATGGTGCATGTAGTCATAATACCTAAAAACATGAATTGTTGATTAACCTCATTTTTACAATTATGGTACCAAGTCTATGGTCCAAAAATTAGAAAAGAAAGAAAAATAGCAATAATATTAGTAAAAAAAATAAAAATATTGAGTAATTCTAATACTCTTGTGACATGTGAGTAGAATTGGAAATCAACTTTCACTAGGAATTCTGTATACACTCTATACAGTTCTTGCAAAATTTATAACCATGAATGGTCTGACGTGACAAAAAAAGAAAACCAAAGATCTGGTTGCAATGCAAATTAGTCGTTGATCGGTCAAAACTTTTCCAGTATTCCCTACAAAATTAGTCGAACCAATTGGGCTTTCTGAAGGCTGTGTTTGGTTGCAATGCAAATAAATTTGCACTGATGTGAAACTGTAACAGTGCAAATGATTTGAGTGTAAATTATGATATATTTTTGTTTCAAATTTTAACTTATTTTGTTTGATTGCATTATAAATGATGTATATTAAGACATGAAGCAGAATAAAGTAAACCCCAAAACAAAATTAAATGAGGATTAACATTTTTTTCATTTGCACTCCCATGCATTTATACTAATGCWAATAAAATTGCACTGCAACCAAACACAGCCGAAAGAACAAATATTGRGCCCATTTTCCACATGATATAGGCCCTGTAGTTGTAGGCGGCAATTTACCCAAATTTGGGTCCATTGGGGCCATTTGTCTTTGTAAATTGTAACCCTTGAAGAATCCCTGGACTTTCCTACTTTCATAGCGTATRATAGATTTTACCCCACCATTGAATAATAGATGCACCTATGATCAAATGACATGGCTTCAATCTTTTTCTATTCATTTGGGAATTCGGGTGTCTCTTAGCATAATTCGGTCATGTTTGGTTCAATTCTCATTCTTTCTCATTTTTATCCAAGATGAAATTCTAAAATGAAAAAGAATAAATAAAAATAAGTAAAATGATAAATTTTTACTATGAATCTAACACTYTTTTTTAGTAACTTCAAAATGAAGCTTTATATTTCAAATCATGGTAATATATATGGTGGGATTAAAAAAATAAGGTTATCTCTCTCTCTCAACGGATTGAAATGTCTTCTCGGCATTTCATTCATGATGAAAGTAGACCTATTCGAGTGGCAAGTTGTCCCCCAACCAATACAAAGTAATGCTTTTGACTTGTATATATTGAACCATTGAGCCTTCTTTGTCTTCCTTAGCAAGACAAATCAAATAATGTTCACCACCTTTGCTTCCATCCCAAAGCACCAACCAAACACTAATTTAGTAGAAAAGGATAAAATACATGAGAAAGCAAACAAACAAACACACTCATACACTAATCACTTCTTCCCCTACCACTGTAGCAGCTTTCTTATGCTTCTTAAACAAGAAAATTTGAACGAGAGCTAATGTGGCCTTCATTCCTCTTTCCTTTATCTGGACCTTAATCATTCCACTTCCCTCTACATATTCCTCAACCCAGTGTAAGAGATCCAACTGCTATCCACCATGAATTCTATTCAAGTTCATCAAAACATTGCTTACCAAGAGGAGACAATGGATCCTTCGGTTCCTGCAAAAATACTCATAGGTCTCCCTCTGGATGCAGATGTGAGCAAAGAACTTCTCTTGTGGGCTATCCGACTTGTTGCTCGTCCAAACGACACTGTAATAGCTTTACATGTTCTTGGTTAGTATATCTCTTGGTTTGCTTTATACTATTTGGATTGTTCGCTAGCTAAATCGTGGCAGTATAATTAAAATGTTGGCTCAGTTGAATTTGGATAAGTTTTCTCAAATTTTTTTTCCGTGGAAGACCACAATTGATCATTCAGAGAGATTATGTCCTAGTTCATTCATTGTATTTCTCTCTCTCTCTCTCTCATGTGTGTGTGTAATGGTAGTTAGAACTAGGATAACGGTTAATTAGAATCATTACATGATTGTTGGTATAGACCAGCAATGATGAAACACTTTTTTTTTTTTCTTTTAGTTAAAGCCATTACCCATTTCACATCTTTGATCGCTTTGTGACAGTAGTGAAGCAGGAATCAAAGAAGCTTGAACCCAGTAGAATCAATCAAACCCGACTTCGTCGTGCAAAAGCTTTCGTAATATCTGCCCTCGGAGAATTTGTTGAGATCTGTCTGTCTAAGCAAGTATGTACCCACAGTTCATGTGAATATATAACATTATCATTTCTGAAAGAGTAATCTGAGTTTAATCTCCTTGTTCTTCCGATTCAGGTCAATCTTGAAGCTAAAGTGGGGAGTAGCTCAAGTGTTGGAAAAKGTCTGATTGAGGATGCCGAAGCCATTGGAGCTGATTTTCTTCTTATTGGTGGCTCGAGAAACCGGCCACAGAGGTGAGAGACACTCTCATCTTTGGCAAGTTAAAGCTTGAAAGAGAAAGATTAAAAGAATGGATCGAATTTCACTATATTGAATAACTGTACATGGCTGAATATTTATATAAAAATAATAAAGAATAAATTAGAAACAATTAGAAGAATAGAAGCAGAGAAATAAGGAAAGGTCTTCAGTAGGAAACTTGCTAAAAAGAGAGTTTCCTTTTTACTCTGTTAAGGGTCCTTTGTAGTAGCTGGTCCTTCTTTGACAAAAAGACTAGAACCTTCTTTCATAGAAGATCTAGGGCTCTCTTTGATAAGAATGCTAGAGCTCTCTTTGATTTGAAGTAGCTGAAGGTGATGGATTGATTTTTCTTTTGATATAGTTCACTCGAAACTACTAAGTACTGCTTCGAGCACGCCCCAGAAGGTTGTTCAGTTGTCTCAATTGGGAAACGTGGGCAGCCCCACCAAGATTCGAGTTCAGAGTCAATGCCATCTGGAGGTCAGTCAGTAGAACTAAGACCTCAGTGATGCTCATTTGGTATCCATTTGTACATTTTCTGAACCATCATCTTGTAACAGGTCTCCGTCAATCAAGTTTGAGAAGACAAAACAGTGATGCTCATTTGGGTAAGACTATGTCACCGATGCAGAAGCTTTTTGGCTTAAAGAGAGGAAACTCTGTAAACAGAACCCACAATCACCAACTGAACCATCATTCCCGGAGTGCAAGCGCCTGTGAAGAGCCTTCCCCCAGAGCTGTTCTGGATGGACCAGAAGGAGGATCTCATGACATAGAAGATGGCTTTAGTTTTGGAGACTCCAGCATCACTGAGTCCCCTCCTCTGGCACCAAATTTTGAACGTCGTTCCAAGACATGGAAGCGTCTGTTGAGAAGGAAGCTTCTCTTTCCTTTCTTCTGCATCTATGAAACACAAAGAAAGGGAGAAGAGGGATTATCTGACAAAGAAAACCAGAAACCTTCTTGGAGGTGCTTCAGTTATGAGGAAATCTCAAATGCTACAAACAACTTCCACCCGGGTAAGAATGCTTGCTGTTTCTTTGATTCAGTGTGCTTATAGTGATATGGTAGTTCTCAGATGGGTTCTTGGTTGTTTTGAATGGCAGCTAATATGGTGGGGCGAGGAGGTTTTGCAGAAGTATATAGAGGTGATCTCTGTGATGGACGTACTATAGCAGTGAAGAGACTAACCAAGGAAAACAACAATGAGAACAAGGAGAAAGAGTTTCTCATGGAATTGGGTATAATAGGCCATGTCTTCCATCCTAATACAACTTACCTGATTGGATGCTGCATTGAAAATGGGCTCCATCTGATCTTCAACTTTTCTCCAAATGGAACTTTGGCATCTGCATTGCATGGTAACATGAAAATTGAACACATAGAACCAGATCTATCTGTTAATGTTACTAGAAGATTGGGTCACCCATTTATAGTTCTTAACCTCAATTATGGTCCTTAGGTTCTGGTGGCAAGATACTGGAGTGGCCAGTGAGATACAAGATTGCAGTTGGAGTTGCTAGAGGTCTGCATTATCTTCACAAATGCTGTAAGCACAGAATAATTCACAGAGACATAAAGGCATCCAATGTTCTTCTTGGGTCAGACTTCGAACCACAGGTGAAGAACCCAAGCAGATCCATATGAAAACTTCTTTTGAGTGGCTTCAAATTCACTCTGCTTTGATTTTCCTTAGATTTCAGACTTTGGGCTTGCGAAATGGCTTCCCACTCAATGGACCCACCATTCTGTAATTCCAGTTGAGGGCACGTTTGGATACTTGGCGCCAGAGTACTTCATGCATGGAATTGTAGATGAGAAAACTGATGTTTTTGCATTTGGGGTCCTTCTCCTGGAGATCATTACTGGTCGGAGGCCTGTTGACACATCAAAGCAAAGCCTTCTCTATTGGGTAAGGAGTTACCTGTGCCCTTATTAATCAAAGAAGTTATCCAAATTCAAGATGATTACTGAACTTTCAATGAGTGTTCATGTGCAGTCAAAACCCCTTATAGAGTCTGGAAACATTGCTGAACTAGCTGATCCGAATCTTGGAGGTAAATATGACATGGGCCAAATGCGTAGATTAGTACTCACCTCTTCCTACTGCGTAAGACAATCTCCTGTATGGCGTCCATCGATGAGTGAGGTACATGATTTGTCTATCTTTGTTTTAATTTGGGTAAGTTACAGCTAGCTATAGGCTATAGCTATAGAAGATCGAATCTTCAAGTTATTATATATTGTCTGTAATTTCTTCTGTAGGTATTGCGACTTCTAACAGAAGAGAACCATTCGGAGATGACACGGAGCTGGAGAATGACAGAGAGAATAACGGTTGATGAGATGGGTAGTTTTGACATGGATGTTGATTGCTGGTCTCCATCGAGTCCATCAAATTAGGAGGATGAATTCCTTTAATCTTCATTTGGTTAAGCAGGTTTTGTTGTGGATAATTTGGTTGGGATTTAGGGGAGATTGAGAAGTAATTTATTCATTATTGGTTCCCAAGTTAATTATCTATACATTCATTCCACCTGATCAACAAGAACTGCCAAGGTTTCGAGACTATAAACAGATACAGTCCCATGATGCAAGAGAAGAATATGAACGACCAATGAATTTCTGAAATTGAATTACAAGTTAACTTAAGTTCTTCAGATGGTTTCAGTTTCTGCAACTGCTTTTCTGCTTCTGTTCTTTTCCCTTGGAACTAACTGCCTTGGCCTTTGTTGAACACCATGTAGTCCAATTATGTTTAATTAATTGCTCCAACATTTGTAATTTTTATTGAACCCTTCTGGGGGTGTAGTGTTTGCTTGGAGAAAGCACCCTTATCGCTTAAGCCTGTACAGCCCTGGTAGATGTGTGGCTCCCTGAAGCTTTGCACGCATTAATTAATGCGATTTCAATGAATTGAACTTCTAAGGTGGATTGGCCCCATTTTGAAATCCTCACTTCTGATCCTTATGGAATTGAATGTTATGTTTGTAGAGCAAATTCATTAGAACTAGTACAAATGCATTGGAGTGCAAATGAAAGGATTGGAAATTATGGTTCACTTTTACTTCGGCTACGTTTGGAAACGATGCAAATATGTAGAGTGTAAAACTGTTCATATAAATTGTAAAGTTGGGTTAGTTTTCCATTGACAAATTTACCTTCTTATCGAGAAGACTTTTAGCTGTAATGGATGCAAACACGAATTCTAATAAAGCATATATATATATATATATATATATATATATATATTTATATCAAAAGCCCACTTGAATACAAATTTACTTCTTTTTTATTGATGAATTTTTACTTCATATTATCAATGTAAATATGCATTGATCTGTCATTTATAAATGCAAAAATGTAATGTTGTCAAACACAGGCAAAAGTAAACCAGAGTATAAATTTACCCTGAACCAGGATTTACACTCCATTTGCTTCATTTCCAAACACAGCCCTTCAAGATTTACTTTCCTTGATTCAGACTTCTTCATTTACACGGCAAGCAAACAGAATAGAATCATAGAACCTGAAACAAAGGTAAACCAGAATTCTCTCAAATCATATGAACTCCCATACTTTTAATGAAATCACAGTACAAACAGACCCAGTAGTGTCCAGAAGACACAGATACACAGTACAAACTCCCATACTCCATGAACTTCCAATTCTATTTCTAATCAATCCGATTGGATAGCTTAACTACTAAGATTGAATTGTCTCTATAGAAGGTTAAAAGGATACAACTCTCCCAGAAGGAAGCATATCATTGATGGCTAAAGGCATACACATCATGTATATTCTCTACCGGTTGTCTTAATAAACAAGCTAGGCATCGACATAGTTGTGTTACTACCAGATCTCTAATTAAACCCAGTCAATAGTTGTTATGAGTGAAGTAGGTTGTAAGATTACGAGCTTTGCTTTATTGTACACATGCATGCAATAGCACCACCACCATGAAATTGAATCCATTGGAACTGGGGAAGCCAAATTATATATATTTCCCATTCCATGTGATTTTTTTATGATGTCACTCATTTTATATTTTTTATTTAATTTAAAATTTAAAATAAAATAAATAAAATTTACACTCTTATCACAAATGTTTCAAACATATTTAACCATATTTTTAAAAGTATTAATGTATATACATAAATACGAATAATTATATCTATATCTATGCTACTAATAAAAGAGCGAATAGCTCCATTTTCTGGACTTCTCATTAGACATTTTTATCCTTTATCTAAGCAACATACAATGGAGATAAAAAATGGAATATATGTCCTTTACTCTCACTCCAAAAGCTGTCCACTTATAAACAGTTAAGAAACTGTTCATGAATTATAAATAGTTGTCTTGGAGATATATATATATATATATTAAGTGGGGATTAGGGGCCCTTTAGGAAGAGTTTTCTTCATCCCGCCCTACCCACGAAGGAAAATCATCCTCATCCCCACCCCATTTGGGACGAATTTCCACCTAGATGGGATAATGCCATCTTAAGGAGAAAAGGGGTCTTTCAATTTGGTTGGATAAGGTTTCTCAACACAGCTAGACACAACTCAAGTCCAGTGACTGAGCCAAGGCTTCTTAATCAAGCAAAGGGACATCAAAAAGGTGTTGGCTTGCAATTTTACTAACATCTAGCACATCCAGCCTTGTAGGGGAACCTTTGAGCAACCTTTCATGAATCAAAACCCTGCCAATGAAAAAGCGCGAGTAAGACATTTCCAAAAGAAATAATTGGCTATAACTGGGCCTTGTGAATTGTGATAAACATCACATCATTGGTCATCTCTTTTATGATACCAGTTGATTGGATGTATGTGTTTTTCAACATATCATAACCGAACCCATTATATATAACCCTGTTCAATGTTAACTTGACCCTAAAACTAAGCCCAAAGTCAGGGCTTCTTGATCCTTTAATAAAACCTTGGGCTGGGCCACTGGGACAGGTTATGTATGTAGGCTCGTTTACCCAAATTTCATCCATCGCTCAATAAATAAGAGCTAGTGGCCTCACGCATGATATGAATGTCTTTTCCTCGGTATTTTTAACTCGTCATTGACCCAACTGGTAAAACCAGTGACCCAGTGATCTGGTCATAATACTGGTTCAGACCAACCTTTAACTAGTTGATTTGATCAACAACCCGTTGATCTATTGATCCAATCTGACCCTCTCAACAGATTAACGAGTTCTTGTATTATTTTTTTCTTGGGTTTTCTCTTATATTGATAATATCAGAAAATTAACAAGATATTATATATCAATCAGACTACCAGGCTTTCCCAGGTGGGCATAACTGGTTGTGGTTGGCTACTTGGCTATGACCTTGGTTATAAGTTTATTACTAGTAGAGAAAATTGCAGAGAATAATTGATCGGATGTAATTTGACTCAAAAAAATTTTATTGGATGTAATAGAAGTTTGGAGCTTGGGTATTTGAACAATGTTGCACATTGTTGAACATTTCAGAGGGCGTTGTACTTGTTTGACGCTAGAAGAATCAACCTAATTAGTTTCTTTACCTCAGATATAGTCAGACTCGGTTTGATGATTTTAGGATTTTACTAGTAGGGACTCTGTAAGATGCATGGGCTTCACATAAGAATAGACAATAGTTTTATATTTTAACCTTTTAAATAATTAGTAATTAATTATATTTTATATATCATTTTTAATGATGTTTTACGATACAAAATTAACAACAATTAATTTCAGTTAAGTTGTTCATCAAACTGGTAAAACCGACCAACACGATCCAATTCAACTCGAGTTAGTATTTACCATCTTATAATAGACAATATCAAACAACCATACTAAATAATCTACTATAATGGGAGAATGTGTTAGTCTTCAACACCAGCATTGTCGACTTTGCATTGCAACAACTAATATAATCAAATATTATGTTCTTCATCGTCATCATTTGCCATATGTAAATAAGTGTGATTGTTCTCTTTGTGAGGCTTGCCACACTAGTAAAAGTCATACTTCCTTCTAGTAATTCATTAAGTATTATGCCATGGCTTTCACTATTATGTGTTATCCGTGGATGATTATTCTAAATATTCATGGATTTGTTCTCTTCACCATAAATCTGATGTGACTAATGTCTTCATTACCTTTTAAAAAACTGGTTGAAAACTATTTTAATTGTAAGATCAAAAGTAAACCAATATGGCTAGGGAGGAGAGTATAAAACTCTCTCCAACTATTTGGATGACAAGAGGTATATTACATAGCGTTTCTTACCCCTAGACCCATGGACAGAATGGGGCTATAGAGTGTAAACGTCACCATGTGGTTGAAACAGGTTTAGTGCTCTTACAACAAGCCTCCATGTCTTCTACTTTCTGGAGTTATGCCTTCAAAGCAGCAATTTATATTATCATTTGGCTGCCTATTATGTTATTGCATTACATTTCACCATATGAGAAGCCATTCTTTGAGATTCTAGGTTACAAATTTATCATGACCTTTGGTTGCATTATTTATCCATGGCTAAAACCATATAGCAAGAATAAATTGGATGCTCACTCTCTTGCGTTTGTCTTTTTAGGATACAACCTGACGAAGCAGTTTTTTGGCAACTACCATGCTGAATAGCGAGTTAAAAGTCAAGTTGTAGAATTCCTACTAGAAGGTGGCTTGAATGCCGAGCTGACTAGGCAGTCCTATGAGGTTGTTCAGGTGCCGAGCTAGGTAGATAGGTGAGCTGCATAGTTCTCTAGAGAGACCCGCAATGAAACAATGTCAAAGTGCCCGAGTTGCTTTTACCCGGTGTGGGCGCTACGATGCCTAAGTTAGTACTAAGTTGTGCGAGAAGAATTCTAGTATGCTAGTAGGCTTCTGAGCAATAAATCGCACCTACCTTTGTGATGTTGGAGATGAGGCCTATATATAGGCGTTGTTTGGTGTGGGCTTCACGCATCGCGTCCGAGATCTCTGGGAGGTCGTGCCTAACCGGTTTGAAGTCCTCAGAGGTAGTTGTGTACGTAGATTAGTCTTCGTGCCTTGATCGGTTTCCTCCGGAACATTCGGTGCGGGGGCCAACTTCTGAGAAACCTGGGAGTGATGGGATATGCATGCAGAATTGGTCGACGAGCACGTCCTGTATGTCGCCACTTCGACCTTAATCAAGTCGGCAAGCCCTCGAAGGAGGTCGCTCTTCACATAGAGACCAGTTCGGCTGGTGATGAGGTGCCACAGGTCGGCCCTAGACGAGGTTCTGCTAGACGCCCTAAGTTGTGGATGAGGTCACCAGCTAGGTTTCCACCAAGTCGGTGAAGGCAGGTCGCCAGGTGGAACTCCATCACTTTGGCTAAGGCAAGTCATCGCATAGGTGGTGTTTGAGTGTCATCCACCTGTTCCAAGATGCCATGTGTCATGTTGTCACTAGAGGGCCAAATCTGCTCTCATCAATTTCCCCCCATTCCTGAGATGAGATCAGCTCGGCGAATGGAGTAGAGTGTTCCTTTGGCCCAGAGTGACCAATTTGATGAGCTCATAGCCCTAGCGTCGGTACAGTTTGCTCCCCTGGTTGGAAGAGTGTAACTGTTAAATGCAACCTTACACAGGACCTCACCGTCTTGATTAGCAGGGCACAGGAGCAAACTCATTTGCATGAGGAGTGATGAAGCAGATACCCCAAGGACATCTACCTTACTAGGGATGCAACCGTCAAGGAATTATGCAATCCGACCAAGTACCTCAAGAGCAAAGTTCATCATGTCATCCTCAAGAGGGGCTTCCAACTACGTGACTGCCTTGTCAGGTCGCTCCACTTAGGTAGACTTCAACACAATGTCCCTTGAGCCGGTTCTCGAAAGATTAGCTGACAAGGTCGATGCAAAGCCTAAAACCGAGGTGGAGGTCGACTGTGAAAAAATCAGCCAAATTTGCGTGTGAGTCTGCCACGGTGCTGAAAGCGAACTAGTCTTCCCTTCCTCTATTTCTCTTTCCCTTTTTTTTTCAGGGTCAGCGATGAGATGCTGATGTTCTTT